CTTTTCTGTCACTGCGCAGGCCGCTCAGCTGGCCAGGAACAGAGCGAGCCCAACGGGAGCGGGCGTACCAGCGAACGGAAGGCCCGAGTGACAAAACAAGAGCAAGGATCTTTAGAAAAAAGGACAAGTAACGACAAAAAGATAAAGGATTTCTTTAAAAACAAGGAGCAAAATCCCATCTGAACGGTGCTACTCTGTTTCGGAAGCTCTGCTCCGAGTAAACCGTGACCTCACGAGGTTGCCGTTCTCTTTACGGAAACTTTGAAATCCGCACAAAAACCACCGTCGCCGCTTCGGCCGGAGCTCTACCAGCGCCCCAGCAACGGGCGGGTTTCCAGCCGGCTGGCAGCCAGTCCCTGCCTTCCCTACCTCCAGCTAACTGTTTTTCCAGTTCTTCTCTGACTACGGGCGACGTCAAGTGGATGGTCAGCGTCAACGGCGGCTCTTTCGTGTTCTTAATGACAATGGCGGCGTCACCCACCGACTGGATTATTTCGTATTTGTCTTCGGTGATAGCCTGCAGGAGAAGTTCCCCGCTCAGCAAGGGGCCGACTCGCTCCCAACACCCCTTTCCAACAAGGTCTAGAAGCAAAACCCCCGCTAACGGGGACGCCCGTTTCACGGGGCACTTCCAGAAGCGGCCGCGCGCCGACAAAAGCCCCTTTTCTGGGCAAAGCCCACCGACTGGATTATTTCGTATTTGTCTTCGGTGATAGCCTGCAGGAGAAGTTCCCCGCTCAGCAAGGGGCCGACTCGCTCCCAACACCCCTTTCCAACAAGGTCTAGAAGCAAAACCCCCGCTAACGGGGACGCCCGTTTCACGGGGCACTTCCAGAAGCGGCCGCGCGCCGACAAAAGCCCCTTTTCTGGGCAAAGCCCGGAGGCCACAGCAAGCTGGACGCCCAGGTTGTCGGCGACTTTCTCCAGGAGGTCTGTGGTGGGTTTGTCTTTGCACAGAAGCACGAGCTCCAGATCCAAGTCCCCCTTCAGCAAGAGGCCTTTGGCCACCAGCCCCACGCGCATCACGCCCCGCAGGGTCCTCGTCAGCTGCTCCGTGGCCTTCTGGTCCCTGCGAACACCGCGGGGCGCCGTCAGCGGGGGGCTGGGGGGCGGAGAGGACGGGCCGCGCCAGCGCTCGCCGCCCCGCTCCTTACCCTCCCTCCTTGCTCTCCTCGTCGGCCGCCGTCTCCATGGACTCCGCCTCGGGCTGCTCCCCCCCGACCTTCTCCTGCTCGTCGATCCAGTCGGAGACGGCTTTGAGCGCCCGCTCCGTGTGGGACACCATGTTCTGCACGGCCTCCAGCTCCTCCTGCGTCGGGTAGACGGCCGAGTGCTTGGCCATCACGTGGCGGTCGTCGTTCACAAAAATACGCATCGGTCGCTGCAAACGGGATTTTGAGACGGTTTCAGCGAGACGACGCGCGGGCTGCGCGGCTCGCGGGCCCGAAGCCGCCCCCCGCCCTCACCATCTTTGCTCCCGAACGTCTGTC